CCCCATATCATGTGAGCTAAACAAGGGTAGGAATATTTTTTTATGTTTTATTCACTGATGTATCCCCAGCACCTAGAACATGCCTAATACAACATAAGCTCAAAATAAATATTTGTTGAATGAATTAATGGATATATTACTGAAGGAAAATATAAATTCTGCCGTTTCACTAAAGGAAAACAAACAGTGCTTACCAAAAGAACACCTGCAAATGGCCAGTAGACACAAGTGCTGTATACATAGGAGAGACACAGTAGTTGAAGGAAAACCTCCAAATAATTGTATGATAATGAAGACTTCCCAGGCTAAACAGTTTTCTAGATTCAAAAATGAAGACAGACAAGGAGATAAGAGGCAACAGACAAGGAAAGGATGCTGCTTTTGAAACAGTCAAAACAGGAGATGGTAGAAGTAGATGGAGGACAACTTTGTTTTTTTTCCAACTCTACGATTCAGTGAGCATAAACAGAGAAAAATAAGGGTAAGAATAGCCAACACACCTCTCTTCTCCCGATGTATATCTTCCAGAAGTTGCTCCTGCCTTTCTATCTGTTCAAAGAGATACTGGAGCTCAGATTCCTTGTTTTCAGTCATATTCTTAAGCTGTTGTCTGCACAACATTAGCTGGTGCCGCAGATTTTTCTCTCTGCTTTCTCTCTCTTTCATTTCCTCACAGAGCCACTGAAGTTTAGTCTAAAAAGCAAAATATATATCTAATTAAATTTTTAAAAAGCCAAAAAGAAAAAAAAACAGAAAGTAGCATTACAAAACATAAGGAAGAAAATGAAGTAACGTCATGGTAACGTCCACAAATATTGACAATAACTAGCAAATTAAGGAAAACAAAACAAAAAAATAATAACAACATCAATAATGTTTGCATTTGCATATTGATATACGTCAGTTAAAAGTTGGTGCAGAAATCAAGACGTGATTTTCTTGGATTTTGAAAAAAATTTATTATAGTCTATCATCTTTGGAAAGGCACTAGTAAAGAAGAGCTTGGTTACTAAACTTCCAATTCTGCACTTTTCTGTGTTGTTAGTATCTTTAAAACAAGAATATATTCAATGCATTATGTCATAAAAATTATTCTAGACAAC